TTCTCGGATTCGGATTGGGCCGGAGACAAGAACAACAGAAGATCAGTCACGTCCATGATGATTTTTCTCGAAGGTGTACTCATTCACTGGAGGTCCAAGCTACAGAAGGTTGTGGCATTGTCGAGTTCCGAAGCTGAGTTCTACGGGTATGGCGAAGCAGTGCGAGAAGTTCCATTCATCGCGCAGATTCTGAAGTTCCTACAGATCAACGTGGAACTACCTATGCAAGTGAAGATCGATAACTTGGGTGCTATCTTTATGTCAGAGAACAAGACAAGTGCGAGTCGAACAAGGCACATGGATACGAGGTGGCACTACGTAAACCAAATGCAGCAGGACGGCCTAGTGAAGATTGACTTTGTTCGCTCGGAAGACAACGTGAGCGACATTGGGACCAAGAATGTCAACGTCGAGACCCTCGACAGACATGCACCAAGATTGACTGGAGACAAGGAGCAATTGGTTTGAGTTGCTTGGTGAGAAGGTCGCTGCCATCATCGCGAAAACAGGAAGGGTGTTAGAAAGGTATTTTCGTATGACGGACAGACGACTAGGGATCCACAGTCACGGTTCGTGATTGGGGATATGTGACTCAGATACAGATGGTGATCCGATCATCATCAGATGGCCAGGTGTACGAGGAACGAGGACAATGGTCGTCTAGATGATGCAACTACAAAGGATAGGAAGTTAGGTCGAAGAGATGAATGCAAGGAGCGATGGGACGGAGCAAATGAATGGACAGATCAAGGTCCACAGGTTTAGTAAAGTGGGAGAGCCCTCCAGGGCCAACCATGCACTTCAGGAAGATAGATCGATGAGATCTATCTGCAGATGAAACTGCGAGAAATAGAGGATCGAACGATCCTGGTACATGTATGCATATCGGAGCTCAGTCTTAGAGCTCACAATCTGAACGAGAGAGAAAGAGAAAACGAAACGAATAGCCAGTCTACTAGACAGTAGAGCTGGAAAGATATTGATTAAGTTAGAGAAATTGTGCATTCAAGTTCACACCTTTTCAACACCAGTACACCCCTCCTCACTCTCTAGTCGGGGACATTCACTACAGAATCCACCTGAAATTGGGAGGCCTTTGTGAATGAGATTGGTCCATGGACTGCTGAAGGGTAGCAGACAAAGTATGGACTGTTTGGTCAACTCACCAACACAGTGACCTGACTTGCAAATCGTCGCAGAACTGATCATCATCACATGGACTTGGAGGAGATGCAGCAAAGAAGAGGGGGGGGGGGTGAGTGGCATGCCCCCAGCATGCCCCCAGCATGATCACCCGGCTTTGACACAAGTTCCTGCTCTCACCTGTCACTATTACATCTGTGAAAACAAGATTCATTCCCATCCACCTGTACACATGCATTGATTGTGCTTCCCCTGTAAGCAAGGGTGACACCAAAGCTAAAGCTGTGGCCATCAGAAGGCCAATTGAGCACATCTTCCATAAAGTCATTTTTCAATCCAATGTAGCCGGAAAGCTCGAGTTGAACTCCAAATCCAGTCTTGTCGGCGTAGGATCGAATGGCACCTACTAATTCGGAGTCACCACTAAATATCTCACAAATGACTGCAGCATAAGGGGTCATACCACAGATGCCCCCCAGCATGACGTTGATACTGGCAGCAAGCATGAGCTTTGTATCTTCGCCACTAACATACAAATACATGTCAGCCTCTACAGTGATAACCCCCGAAAGGTCAACTGTATGGGTCTCTGTTCTACCACCCAAGCTGCTCACCACTTCAAAAACGACCCCAGCTTCACCAGAGAGGAGTATCTCAAAGTCCACATTTTCACTCTGGGCAAACATCCCAAGTGTGAGCTGATGACTTGGAGGCTGCAACAAAAAGCAATCATCCTTGGTGAGTGTACTTACATTATCATTGTTGTCTTTCAATGCCTGTGAGTTGGGTGCGGTTTCGTTGTTTCTGCTGTTTGGAGCCACGTCAATGATTAAGGAAAGGTCAACATTGATCGTTGCCTTAACCTTAGGGGAAAACTTTATTCCCATGCTTCCAGTACCACGGACAGCAATGTGCCCATCCACAAAAATCTCTTCAGGTTCCCCGGTACCATCCCACATGCGATTGCGTGTTTCTTTGCCCAACTGTTTGGTTAGAGAGAACCCCACAGCATCCAAGGTGACAAAGATGATTCCTGCAATTCCCACATCCGGAATGATGCCCGTTTGTCCAATAGCATAGGTATGGGTGCATGGATTGAGAGCTGCACAGAATCCAATACCTGGTAAATAATAAAATAAAGGCAAATCTGTAAAAAAATGGATTCGGACGAGAAGTGCTTGAGAACGACCTAGGATCCAATACCTGTAGTCTCCTGTTCTATCCCGAACGCCAACACATCCCCCACATCAACAAAGTCAATGGGTTCACACAAGCTCCCACTCCAGATTCTTCCCCAAGTTGAGAAAGATCCGCACCACCTGCTCGAACCACCTGGGGAATCAAAATGCTAAAGAGGTTGCTGGCAAATTCAGAATTGGCTTCCTCCAATTGGTCCTTGATGAGATCTATAGCATTCAGCCCACTGGGCAATCAAAGATAGAGCTCTGCTCATTCAAATCCCCGATATCGAACACTTCAATGGCATCACAAGAACTATCCAGCTGACGCTCAAGCTTTCCCCTGAGCTTGGCTTCACGGTAGGGTGTGTAGGGCCAAATGTGTCTTGCCACATCACTGTTGTTCCAGGTGGTGGCAGCACTGATATTATCAGCACCATTCTTATCTGCAGGAGCCCTGCGAAACCCGATGTCGTGGAGGCTGAGCTTTGGCAGTGGCCGTCATCCATGTCAATAGTAGTAGAGTTTTCATCATGCTTGTTATGGCTGGTTGCTAGCTAGTAGCTAGCTAGCTACTAGCTAGCACGGTGGCTGGAGTGGACGTTTTGTTGCTTGTTGCATGCATACCACCAGCCAACAAGGCAATTCAGTGGCGAAAATCGACGGTGACTCAAACCAGCTAATTACTAATGAATGAGCCTGGTTCCGGACGTTCTGGCACGCACCCTGAAACCTGAAAAGGCCAACTCCACCTATCTTTGGCATGACCACATTCTTCCATCCAGGAGTGAAGACGGAGAAGGGTGAACTGGCGCAGATTCAAGATGATTGGTTGGCGGAAGTTGCAACCTACCGGTAGTACTTGCGCGATGGACGCAGGCCCTGTGCCGGGGAATACAGATAGCGGTAACAGGTGTACATGTACGATAAAGCGGCACCATCACAGAGAATCGAATCACGCCTTCGTCGGTGGTTCCTTCGAGTTGCTTTTGGAGTTTGCTCTGGTGCCTCAAAGCAGCCCAAAAGAGGTCTACTCAGAGCCCGCCCAGCCAATGGCATAGTTCCATGGTGCCACCAGCCATCACTAAAACTCTTACAGCTTATTGACCGCTGATCTGACAATAATTTATAGGATCCTCATGTTACTGGTTTGAGCGGTGTTGCCTAGAAGCCTTGGATGCTCTTCGAACTTCGAACGATGAGGTCTCTCTGACGCTTCCTATCCTGCGGATCAACGAACGAATTCAATGACTCGACGGTGTAAATCGCTTGAAAATGTGAGCGGCACGGTTTACAAACCCTGAGCCCTCTTTGGGAAAGTGGTGCCACCAATAATTATGATTAATGGTTTTGAAGTGTTCAAGGATTTAATAATTGGATTTAGAGTGACCATTATATTCAATAACCACCTTTATCCATTGTATTTTGGGTGGCTCGGTGGTGCCACCGAGAAAGTAGTCCACATGTACAATGTCATGTACTTGCTGAGTATGATGTATGTAATGCACCTTTTTCAGGGGGTGGTCGGTGCACGTGGTGGTGCAGCATACAAATTTTGGTGCAAGTGCAATATCTTGCAATGCTCTTGCACTGCTCTGCACTAGAAAGCACTTTCCATTGTGGGGAAACTCACCTTCAACAACACCAACTCATGTACACCCAACAGTGTTTTTTTCTTCCTTCACACCCAACAGCTCACCCAACTCACACCCTCGCACACTTACTTATAAAAGAACTACATGTAACTTGTTTATAAAGATAAATTTTCTGTTGTCTTCCTGAAACCCCTTCACGGGAAATCTTCCAAATTCCAAGGTGATGTAGACTACTGTCTGACTCACTATGAAGGATGGTGGTTTCAGTGGTGTCGCATAGAGCCTTGGATCTTCTTCCATTATGCTTGGAGTTGCCAACTTGTGATGACTCACTCGACTTGACTTGACTGTACTGTACTGTACTGTACAGGAAGACAGCTTTGGAAAGTAGGCATATGGGGTAATACATATTTTTGATTCAAATATGCAGAGTAAACAATATCTTTAACCCTATATCTACCGCACCTACCCGGTAAAACTGTCTTCCAGTAGCTGGCGAATCTATGAGCCAAGCCATTTACCAAACCTGAGCCTGCGCGCAGATAGGCCTGCATATGGCGCCAGGACACCCACTGGAATGATCCAATAATCAACGGTAACATGTGTGTGACAGGGGTTTGCATCAAGGATTTAACAACTTCAACTCCTTTTCCGAAAGTGCCCAATCGTTTTCAGGCGCTGACTCGACTGAGCTCGACTCGACTCATCGAACATCGAACTCAACACAACACAAGCCAAGCCTTCTAAAGCAGGTTGTGGTGGTAAACAGCTATCTACTACGCATCGCCGGCATCAACACAAGCACCCTCCAAGTGGCGCGGCTTCGCTACCGGTACGGCGGCTGTAGCCCATTAAGTTCCATCCATTCAACCGATCCATCGGCCACATGGAGTCACAACAAGGTTGACCGTGACCGATCGCCGTCGACCAGATCCACCGGTTGAGCAGGCACGGAGGGAAGTATACCGTACTCAATCGGCATCCAACTGAAGCCTCTGCAGCCATCGCCGACAGCGATCTCCTAGCCGACCAAGGTGGTGATGTTCCATGCAACTACTACATACTACAGCTCCAAGCAAAGCCACCTAAACTGGCAAGGCTACGGTACCTAGCCATCAACCACCTCCCACAAGAAGGACTACAGACACCAATGGTCCCAGTCAAGCCACCCAGGGCCCGCTAGACTCTCTACCAGTAGCTATACTGGTAAGCCAGCAGCTACTAGTATTACGTCTTTTGGTCAAAGTGCGCACTATCATCGACACATCAACCATGGCGGGGGTGTGGTTTGAGCCGTTCCAATCTCTTCCAACACCTCTAACATGAACCTGGAGCAGGTATGTTGGTTTGGGGTTGAAAGGTTGTCTGGATCATGCTGGGACTGATCTGCTAGCTATAGTGATGGCACCAACCACAGCTTTGGTCGATGGCAGCCCATTTCGGTTGTTGTTACAGCGAAATGCCAAAGCGAGATGCAACTACGGAACTAGTTGTGAATTTGCGAAAAGCCAGTCAACGATCGATGGAACGAATTACGACAGCTGCTACTGGTACATGTAGTACAACGCCACGGCTGGCTGCGGCGGAGGATCGGACGAGTACGGCTACGACAACGACAGGCATTAGACTTATCCATTCGGAGAGCAGCGAAAACACTCCAGTCGACGCACGGATCGATCGATGGACGCTACAACAAAAACGGCTACCGCTATTACCAAGTCCATTGTGGAAGATACCATTGTACCGAAAGGTGTCCTTTTTGAAACAGGTCCCGAAGAGCGCAAGCTTTTCGGAGCGACAGGAAAAGCGCCGCATTCTCTATCGGAGCAGCAACCACAGCGAATTTTTCCATGTAGTCAACCAACACGACGACCGAAGCGACGCTTCACGAAGCCGACAACAACGAAGAGTTGTCTATCTACTGCCTACATTCTGCGAACAACAGCGAAGGGATCGAATGCAGCCTATCAATCCAAGCCAGCCGCTGGCAATAATAGCTAGAAACAGCGGACAACTCCCAGTAGCCTCGGTGGCTGGACGGGAGCACCAGTTCTAGGGATCGGCTGCTCCGTGAAGAGTTTGAAGATGTCATGACTGTCAGGCTAGTAATAGGGTGGTCTGCAAGCTGCAAGTGGTGTACCATGCATTGCTTTCAATCATCGACTCGACTCGACCATGACTTTCGGAGCCGCCCCAGCAACGGCACTTCAGGTTTTCATCTGAACCAACCATCGGGCTATCACTTTTAGTTGGAATAGATAGTCTAGTCATTTGAGGTCTTTTGACCCAGTCTGAAGCGACTCTCGTGTTTATATAGTCTTTGGTTGAGGCAGAGAACGAAATGTAATAACTGCTTTTATGTGTCATGTTTCTGTGGGTGGTGGCCATTGGCTCGTCTTATTCCGTGTGCGTATTCTTTTTCTGGAGTTTTTGTGGCCATTGGCTCATCTTTCGTTGTTTGTTTTCTTTTAAAATTGTTGGTTCATTTTGTTGTACGTGAGGTAAGGTGATGGTGGTTGCGGTTCTTCCATTGCTGGTCCATTTATCCATTTATTTGCATTTCCAAAATTTACATTTGTTGCTTTTGCACTCTTTCTTGGCACCACAACTTTTGTTTCTGTTTTTCTTGTTCTTGCAGTCATATGAGGGCCACTGTGCAATACAAAAGCCAAGATTCAATTCGCTGTGTGAGATTCGCAGGAGATCAATGACTGTCTTCGCAATAACCAACAAGAACAATCTACGTACCCCACTACAATAACGGTCAGTGCCACAATGTCCATCATTGCTGCATTGCTGGCAAAACCCAGCTGAAGCAAATGGGAGACATTTGTGAATGAGATTTGGTCCGCTGCTGCATGATGGAAAACAAAGTATGGACTCTTTGGTAAACTCACCAACACAAAAGTCCCTGCAAGCGTTGTTGGAGGAACAAGTGCCACCCTCTCCTTTTTGGTTCTGACAACGATAGCCAGGAGAGGCTGTTTGTGTACAAAACTTGCCACTCGAGCAGCCACTGGTGCTATCCAATGTCCGACAGTCCGAACAAAAGCCTCCAACACAGTCAGCACTGAACATCCAAGAGAGTGTCAGTTACAGCCCTCTTTTGCACTGATTACGTTGAGAAAGCCAAACAATCACGTTGTTGCTTACCTGGTGCAAGCAACATTACTTGAACATGTGCTTCCCAATCCACGCTTGGCATCGCAACGGTACCCAAATGCAGTTGTTCGCTGTCAAGACAAGCACCAACACAATAAGTTTGAACTCGATGTGGATCTCAAAGAAGAATACACCCACAAACCCTTTGACCTTACCTGTGTGCAAAACTTTCCCGAGGAACATCCCGACGTGGAGTCAATTCTGTCACACTCCGAGCAATAGCCACCTTTGCACTTTCCTGATTTGCATACTACATCTGTGCCATAGAAAGAGTACATCAGAGTGAGGCAGGAACACTGGAATTTGAAGCAATTGATCTGACAGCTTACTCTTCAAGCAGGCACCACCAAGGTCAAGCTTGTCCTTGCATCTAATAAAGAAAATGAAGACTTGATGAGCAACAAAAGGAATACCATTCAAAGGGCATCTTGCATGCATGTCAAGCCCATACCTGTGCCCAAAGGCACCTGGGAGTTGAGTGCAGAACTCATTGCTTCCACATCCATCGGTGCTATCAATTTGACTGCATTCAGAACAGTATCCATTGACACACCGACCAGAATTGCAGGCTATGTTTGAACTGCATGTACCCCCTAAATTCCTCTTGTTGATGCAAGTATAGCCCACATCAGTGAAAGTTTGCGAGCCTGAGGACCAAAGGAGCAAAGAGTTCCATGCACATGAGCTTCAACACAAGCACCAACCAGAAAACTGTTCTGAGGGAACTCAGGCTTACAAAATTTGTTATTATCACACCCTTCCTCACTGTCAATTCTTGCACATTCACTGCAAAATCCACCTGATCCGAGACATTAACAAATGAGTGAATCCCACATTAACAAGGCAAAGATTACAACCCTTCTTTCAATGCTTACCACTGCAAATATCACTCTTGCAAGCAACTTTGTCCAGGCAGGCCCGGCCGTTATTTCGTTTGGCTTCACACCTGCATGAGGAAAGAGAGATTAGATGAACTGAAACATACAAGTGTTCAATGTAGGCATGGTCCAGTCAGTGCAAGCTTACCGTAACCCAATTTTGTTTATCTGCAAAGAAAGCAGAGAGGTCGCACGTTGCTGGTAAGGATGGTGGTGGACAAGTGTCTAGAAAGCGTCTTGCCTTCCTCCTTACCTTCTGAGTACAGAACTCTGCATCGGCAATACAACCTGGAGTTTGTGAAAGATGGGCCAATGGACAAGTGTTGAGCAAGGAAGGCATACCTTCATGGCCCTCTGACTAGCACAGAACCTACCTGCACTTCTATCAACAGTGGGGCATTCCGAGCAAAAGCCACCTGAAGTAAATGGGAGACATTTGTGAATGAGATTTGGTCCACTGCTGCATGCGAACAAAGTATGGACTCTTTGGTCAACTCACCAACACAGTAGCCAGATTTGCAGACAGCATTCTTGTGGCAAACATGGGCAACCTTTTTCCTCTTGATGCAGAAACCCAGAAGGTCACAGAACTGATCATCATCGCATTGACTAGGAGGATATGAAGGAAAGAAGAGGGTGGTGTGAGTGGTATGCAGCCAGCATGCATGATCAGGGTGGCTGTGATGCCCAAGTTCCTGTGCTCACCTGTCAGCGTCACATTTGCGAAAACAAGATTCATTCCCATCCACCTGTACACATGCATTGATTGTGCTTCCGCTGTAACCAAGGGTGACACCAAAGCTAAAGCTGTGGCCATCAGAAGGCCAATCGAACTCATCTTCCACAAAGTCATATTTCAATCCAATGTAGCCGGAAAGCTCCAGTTGAACTCCAAATCCAGTCTTGTCGGCGTAGGATCGAATGGCACCTACTAATTCAGAGTCACCACTAAATATCTCACAAATGACTGCAGCATAAGGGGTCATACCACAGATGCCCCCCAGCATGACGTTGATACTGGCAGCAAGCATGAGCTTTGTATCTTCGCCACTAACATACAAATACATGTCAGCCTCTACAGTGATAACCCCCGAAAGGTCAACTGTATGGGTCTCTGTTCTACCACCCAAGCTGCTCACCACTTCAAAAACGACACCAGCTTCACCAGAGAGGAGTATCTCAAAGTCCACATTTTCACTCTGGGCAAACATCCCAAGTGTGAGCTGATGACTTGGAGGCTGCAACAAAAAGCAACCATCCTTGGTGAGTGTACTTACATTATCATTGTTGTCTTTCAATGCCTGTGAGTTGGGTGCGATTTCGTTGTTTCTGCTGTTTGGAGCCACGTCAATGATTAAGGAAAGGTCAACATTGATCGTTGCCTTAACCTTAGGGGAAAACTTGATTCCCATGCTTCCAGTACCACGGACAGCAATGTGCCCATCAACAAAGATTTGTTCTGGCTCGCCCGTACCATCCCACATTCGATTGAGTGTATGTTTGCCCAACTGTTTGGTTAGAGAGAACCCCACAGCATCCAAGGAGACAAAGATGATGCCTCCAATTTTCACATCAGGAATGATGCCCTCTTGTCCAAGAGCATAGGTATGGGTGCATGGATTGAGGGCTGCACAGAAACTTGTACCTCTTCGCCCGTTCTCTGTCAACAAGAACAAAAAGCAAATCTGTGAGGTGGATGCAAGAGCTTGGACATAAAAAAGCAGTGTAAGATAACATACCGAATCCGAACGCCAACACATCCCCCACGTCAACGAAGTCAATGGGTTCACAAGCTCCCACTCCAGCTTCTCCCCCAAGATGAGAAACATCAGCACCGTCGGCTCGAGCCACCTGGGGAAACAAAACTTTAATTTGGCTGTTGACCCTCCTTTCCTCGGCTTTCACCATTTGCCTCTTGACGAGATCCATAGCATTCAGTCCACCCGGCAAGTCAAAGATGGAGCTCTCTTCATCCAAATTCGCAAAATCAAACGTTTCAATGGCATCACAAGAACCATCACCATCCAGCCGACGTTCCAGCTTTCCTGTGAGCTTGGCTTCACGGTAGGGTGTGTAGGGCCAAATGCGTCTTGCAACGTCGGTGTTGTTCCTGATGGTGGCAGCACCATTGCTCTTGGCAACCCCACGAAGCATGATGTCTTCAACTGGGATTCCAGTCTGAGCTTTATTTTAAAAGTCTTTTCTTTTGGCACGGTCGAAAAGCGGATTTTGAATGTCCGGAAGGCTGCTCTATTCTGTTTTGACCATTTTATTTGTTTGGCTTTTCTAACTGTTTCATAAAACCGTGTTAAATATTTATGTAATAATTTAGCTCCAGTTTCACCCATATCTGAACAAAACTTGTGAAATGAAAGCTTCAGTTTCACGAGTTGTGAAACTAGCCAACATCCGGACCTCTTGTCACAGGCATCCAGAAACGCATGTTCGACCAGGTCTCCTCTCTGTTGAAATGGCCGGATTTTTCATGAAACGATGACGATTGATGGAGGCAGGCAAACTGGCACAACTGCCCCTTTACCGGTATGTCATATTAGTTTTAGTCGGCTAGTCGGCTAGTCTACTACATGCCTGCATGGCTAGTGACCGAGTTTTCATGAAAAGATGACCATTGGCACAAACTTGTTTTGTTGTTTTGCCCTCAAATGCCAAAAGGTGTCCATCTGGGGTTGCAATGTTGCAATGATCGGATTTTCATGTTCCTTAAATGCCCCTTCATAATTCTATTGCAGGAGGTCCAAGCGCGCGACCCAGCCAAGCAGGGTGAAGAGTCAAGCCAGACGAGTCAAGCCTACCAAAACCAAATATTCTATTTGAGTCTTACACCTCCACTGTGAGGCTCAACTAGCAAGGCTCACAACATCTCCATCTTGTCCACCAAGTCTTCCTCCTTGATTGAGCCTGAGTACTCACGCGGTTGGTTCATCTGGTCTGATCAGCCTGAACAACCATCCAACGGGATACTCAGGAAATTTTCTCTTTGTGCCCCGCCTGTTCCCTCGCTCTTTTCCTCTCGCTCTTTCTCGCTCAACGTCCGCCATGGGCTCCTCCGCCTCCCCATGGCTCCTCCTCATTCCTGCACCGCATCCCTTTTCTCACGGGGGGGGGGGGGTGGTGTTGGTTGGTTGGTTCTAGAATATATCTTACTATTGGTCATACCTCTACGGCCATTTACAGATTTATATCGGTACATGAATATAGAAGTAAGCCAGCCGATACCATTTGAATTTGGGCGCGTTTATTACTCTCTTAACTAAGGGTATACTCGACAGTGCTAAACCATACCCACCCAGATTCGTGTTTCAACCGGCAATCAAGACCCACAAAGATCCCAACACAGGACCTGCAGCGTACCTGCACTCACACCACAACAGGTCATTGTGGATGAATCAAGATGAAGCAGAACGCAAATAGAACAAAAGGTTTGGACAAATGCTCAATAGGACCAGCTGCCAGTAGAGAGGAGAACACAACCCAACGATCCAACCGTAGCACCAGCACCATCGCCATTATCTTCGTCGCCATTATCTTCACTGCCATTATCTTCATTGCCATCAACTGTGTCAACTTCTTCGTCTTCTTCTTCTTCTTCCTTGTCATCGTCATTACTGTCACCAGTCTTCTGCTTTTTCTTGGGACTCTCGTCGTCGTCGTCTTCTTCCTCGTCGTCTTCCTGGATGTCGTCTTCTTCTGCCTCGTCGTCTTCCTGGATGTCGTCTTCTTCGTTGTCTTCTTCTTCCTGGATGTCGTCTTCCGTCGATTCTTCTTCCTTGGATTCTTCTTTTGGGCCTTCTGTTTCCTGGGAGTCATCGTCATCGTCATCTTCTTCAGAGGAGGAAGAGTCGTCACTAGCCTGTTGTTGGGACAAGACCCATTTCTTCGGGCGAAGCAAGATTTCATCCTGGGACCCCGAGCTTCCACTGGCAACTGTCAAAGAGACCTCTGGACTTGAAGTTGCACCAGTACTGCTTGAACCACTAGTAGGTGATTGGGCACAGGGGACACAGTACACAGGGTAGCCAAAAAGGGGCTCTCGATGGAAAGTAGGTCGGGTTTCCTCAGACGTCAAGGTACCAGCAGTTGGTGAACCAGTGGATGAACCAGTGAGTGAACCAGTGAGTGAACCAGTGGGTGAACCAGTGGGTAAGTTGTCAATGCGGTTTAGAGTTGCCGTGATGGGGTCAGAGTCTTCATCGCTGCCGAACTGATCATGCAATCCTTCGCTGTACAGGTCCACATCATCAAGGTAACGATGGTATGCATGCATGAAGTTTGTCTCGTTAATGCCAAAGGCATCACAGAACATGGTTGTTGTTTTGTGCTCCACGAATGGATCGGGAAGGATGATCTTCATCTTCAAGAGGCGGTTCAAGAAATCCATATCCAGGGTTCCATTGATGGGAGGGAAAGGAGAACGATTTCCATCCTTGTCCACATACTTGACAACCCACATGCCACAGACATCGTAGGCATAAATGAATTCACCAAGCTTCTTCTTGCCCTCCTTGAGACGTTCTGCATTGACACGGAGAATCTTGTCCCGAGCATACTGGAGAACATCGAATCCCATCCTTCCAAGCTTGGCCCAGACGAACTCGCAGAAGGTACAGTCTTGTTGGTACTGTTCGATAGACATGTGCTGGACTACACAATCGTCATTCTTCACAGGATCTTGAACGGGGACAGGTTCGCCATTGCCTGGAGTAGGGGGATCTTGGTTGGGTTCCATGGTGAATGCAAAGATTTCTGGAGAGGACGATTCTGCGTTGCTGGAGACTTGAGAGAAGGAGTTGTGACACCACCATCGGACAAGTGAATGCTCGCTCTATCGTCAAAGCCTGAGCCAGGAGGGCAGTGGGAGTGTCGGCATTGTGATTTTTGGATGTGGAGGCGCTCCAATGACATGGCTCTTGCAACAAACATGATAATGAAATTTTGTTTGTCTGCACCAAATATCAATTTTGGAATTTGACATCACTTCTTTAGCAGCAAATACGTCTTAGTGAATGGCAGCATTGCATGTCTGTAGACACAGACTGATTGTACAGAACATAGAACAAATAGAATAACTATAAATTAAAGATTGTTCTCCTTTGCTGCTTGGTTCATCTTACCGGCAATGCTCCGTACAACAGAATAGTGATTGTTTTGATTGCCAACACCCAAGAGCATGCAACGGTATTGCATTGGGTTGTCATAGAAAGACGTCAATATATCTAACAGTGTCTGCGATTCGAACTGTTTCTGTTCGCCATTTCGAGGAAGCAACTGCAAATAGTGTACCAGACGCATAAGTTGTTGCCCGTTCAACGTTCCAAGATAGGCATCGAATGACTCTATCATTTTGGATTTACACCTCCTCTTCTTGGAGCTGCACAAACCACTCTCGTACATTCGTTTGTTGTTTCCACGGGCAACTGCCTTAGCTGCGTCGCCTCGTGAATTCGCATCAGACTTCCGTAATACTTCCAACGTTGTGTGTAAAAGTCCATGCTTGCTCCGTAGAAAGATTGCGCCTGGACAGGAATAGCCAAGATGTTTTATGCAGTCTTCGCAATCGCCAACTATATTGCCTTGCTTCCATTGCAGGTGGCAGACAGTACGTGTTGTTCGAATCATTGCATCGGCGACTTGATCTTCTCTTACCGACTTGCCTTGTTCCAGTAGCTTTTTCGTGAATGGTCCCTGGTCACCATCGAGTGATGCTTGTATCAGTCTAATGCGCGATCGGTCTATTGGCACACCAATCTTGTACCTGATGTTAGCCAGCCAGCTGGCTGGATGACCGAACTCATCTCGACCGAGCTCGACGACATCGATTCCATCTTGCAAAAACCCAGTCAGTCCAACAGCAAGCACGGACGATGTCTTGGGTATTTCGATAGTACATGGGTCGCTCCTGTTGTGCGAATCTTCTTGCAGCAATCGTGGAGCTGTGTGCACAAGAAAGGACGCTAAGGTAGCATTCTTGGAGCAATCTGTTGCCACACTCTTGATACCATGTCTGTTGAAACTCTCATTGGGACAATTCGATGGATAGACACCAACCTCACCGCTACATGCATAGTTCCAATTCCATTTGGGAAAGCAGCAATATTCCTTTCTCAGGTGATCAGCTGCTGCCTTTTCACCTCTGTTTTTGCTCCAGTCTTGGAGGTACAGTTCGGTGATGGTTTGCCGTTGCTCCACTGTCTTCGTGCTCGCGATGTTCACGACGTGTCTGTAAGCAGTTCCCTTGGGAGCTCCGAAGTCCTTGTTTTTAATCTTCTTCACGTAGCTCTTCTTCTGTGCGAATGCATGGACGACATGGAAAAAGCAATTCAAAACAGCCTCTCCTTGTATGCAGTCATCGTCATCGCTTCCGGTGTGTTCGCTGTTTTGATCACTGCAAGGGTCGCGATCGTCTTGGACTTGAGTTAGTGGTACGTAGTGTGGATCAGGAATCGACTCAGTGTCAGCTGTGTCTTCCTCTTGCTGTCTTTCCATAATGCTTTGGCATGCTGCTGTTCCGTCACAGAGTCTTGGATGTTTCTTGAAGAAGACATGAGCCGATACGAAGGTATCGGCATCATCAGATGTGCCCCAATCGATACAGAACTCAACACCGAAACAGCGGAAGCAGAGATCGCGCATGGCATAGAGGGCAAGACAATATGGATGAAATCGCTCCCCTCCAGCTCGAAGATACAGGATTGGTCTGAAAGAGCTGGTGACCTCTTGCTCAGTTGTTCGTAGTTTCACTGACACACTACCCACTGTAATGAGACAACTCTTATCTCGAATCATCCCACCCGTCCCATCACAACAGAGTTGCCTTGTGCCTTTTCTTCTCAAAGCAAGATGCATGAGTTGGAACAAGCCAGTAGGTGAGAAGATAATAAAAGCACCTTCGATCCTTTCGTCCAGATCTTGCTGTGGCACGTCCTCGTGTTTCATGACTGTTTCTCGGTATCGTCTCACAATACCACCTCCACCCAAGTCCATCGTGTACATGTGTTCGGAACCTGACTTGTTGTTTATGAAGGGCACTCCAATAGCGGTGGCAAGCTCATCGGCACTTCTGTAGTCGCATCTGGGGCTGTACGTAGTTGGCAGCACCAATCTCCAGTGTGATATGACCCTCATGAGCACGTCATTACTCCGTAAGTCCGAATTGCCAAACAGTCTCTCCTTGACAAAGGATTCACGTCGATTGGCTATATAGTTTCGCAGTTGACGTGTGAGGTGTTCTCGAGGCTCACGATCAACGACATGATGTCTGTGATCCAAATAGGCCACATCACTCCTAACCACGGTTTGCACTCGCTTCATGACCTCTTCAGCAGTGACCCGAAGAATGGAGCGACCACGTAGTGTCTCATCAGCCACGAATTTCATGACAATAGGCATCAATGCTGGAGCTATTCCATACTGGTCTTTGCAGTTATCGGGATTCTTTTGCATGTCATGATTGTGATTGGTGTTCCCAGGTCTTGTGAAATTCCTGTACCGGTGAGAAGATAGTGACAATTCGCCGTAATCTCTGATCTGAGCTCTCCATAGGCATTTTGGTTTGTCTGGATCATCCTTGTCTCCGACACGGCAACAGTACTTGAACACTTTGGTCCCATTCTTCAACTGGAAGGTACCGTCAGGCTTCAAGCACTGCTTGCTGACACCTCTTATGTCAATGAATCCACCGTACTTGTCTATAAGTTGAGACTTGGCCTGTTCCTTTGTGGAACATGGGTCGCAGGTAGGATCTTCTACGTAGTCTCCCGTTGGCGCTGCTGCAATTGGACCTTGGGACGTTTGCGATGTCCTGGGCAAAGGAGCTTGTCTTGGTGGTCTGAAATCAACATTTGTCACTGGTGCTGGGTGCCGAGGCATTGATGCATGGTTAGGGTAGTAAGATGCGTAGGGGTAGGGCGGATATGGTGGTGGGACCGGTGCTTGATATTGGGGAAATCCATGGTGCTGGTGATACAAATGCCAGTAAGTGCTTGGATGATACGCTCTGGTAACTCTGCGTTGGTTTGTGCTGTTCTGCAATGCATTCTGCGATGCATTCTGCGATGCATTCTGCGAACCATTCTGCGAGGTGATGTTCAGCTGGTTATACTGTGGGGGCGGTCGTCGCCATGACATGGTGGCGATATCTTCGCCAAACTAATCACTAAAAAAGGATTCTGCGAGCACAATGCCAATAACTACGTCTTAAATGATTAGTACGTCTATTGCAACTAACAGCAAGTCGAAAATCGCCAACTCCAAAATCCACTTTCAGAGTCGCAAACACCCCTTTTGGGTAGGTATTCCATCCATTTCCAGCTTCGAATTTTCTTCAGGAGACTCAAAATTGTGAGTTGCGAATTGGAGAGGCAGCATGCTGCTGGAGTCGCTGGCTGTGCACATGTCAGACGCATAGCCAGAACATTCGAAAGAAGAAGGAGTGCCGACTCTGGCGCCATGATTTCGAGTTTTCGTGGGAAGTAGACCCTCGCTGATTCATTTTTTCATTTCTCTGAATCCTCCAACCAACACCATGGCCCTCTCTGTGGCGCTTTGATGCTATCTTTGTTGCTGTTTCTGCTGTTGATGCTGTCTCCTATTGATGTGCGAGGTGCGCTGGTACCCTCTGTCCCATTCGCCATCTGTCTCTGCCCAAGTTTCTCTTTGCTTTTGGATCATACTGCACAGCCTCTTGCTGCGATGATGTTGGGTGGATGCAGGGATCTCAGCGGGTCTTGGAAAATCAATCACGTTTCCGTTCCTTGGTAAGTTGTCCTCTGCGTAAAATCACCACGCCAGCCTCTCTCGCCAGACTCACCCAGTCTTTGTTCTCATTTTTTGCTCGTCAGGCGCTGTGGCTTGTGTGTATGGCCAGGAGTACACAATTCCCTTGGTTCTAATACAGTCTGAGTTACCGCTCAGGGCCTCTGTCGTTGCGTTAGTAGGTGTCCACCAGTCTCTTTTTGTTTACTAGCGTTTATATCGTTACTATCTGAATATGACTGAAGACTCCAAGTCCTTCAAGGGGGACGGAAATGAGACAGACGACTCGGCCGATTTGCTGCAGAGTCTGCTTCATGGGAGTCTTGACCTCTCGCCAGAGAAAGGCACCCGTACCCCTTCAGCGAAGAGCAAAGCGAGTGTCGGTTCTCCAACCGATACGAATATCGAGGGAACTCGTTCCAATGTTGGTGAGGGCGCAAACCCAACCGTCGCCGGTGGCATTTCTGGCGATGGTGAGGAAGCAGGTAAGACTGGTGTCCAAGCTCGAGTTGTTGTCGTTCGTCCGGATATGTTGAATCTGTACTGTTGCGGCGTCATCGGTTCACCTGCCGGTCAGAAGTTCTGTTTCAAGGAAGACTGCACCATTGCCGCGCATGAGAGCAAAGTGGCTTTGCAAGAGGGAAACCTCTACATCATACCGCTTACCAAGTCAGTTGGAAAGAACAAGACCAAGATTGGGACCTATGGACTTTTGTCGCCCAGCATGCCCGCAATCATGGTCAACGTTCGGTCTGGCGAATTGGATTCACTCCTTGGCCGACCCCATCCGCTCGAGCACTTACGCATGGTGTTCAGAAGCCGTCTGGCCGATGCCCAGGAAGCCAAATCGAAAGGCTCAGTCAATTGGGCAGGAGGCGCTTCACCTTCGCCCAAGGACCAAGAGACACTCGAATCGTTTGCAGAAGCGATTAAGCACGTGCTCACTCCCCGAAAGGTCAGCTTCGAAGCTCAAGCCCAGCGAGTGAAGATGGAGCGTCAATCTGAAGCCCAGCGCATACTGTTTGCTACCAAACCTGAGCACTCCATTCACGACCTCCGAGCCAAGGCAGCCGTACTGGTCACTGAGGAGTCGAAGCAGATGTTCGAGGCAGTGCTTTCTGTGCTCAAGGAACAGGAATCACGTCTTGCTGGCCTGGGTGACTTGGTGGGTCAGTTTCGGTCCCACGACGAGAAGCAATTGAAGATGATTGAAGACGTCACTTCCAGTTTGCACCTAGTAGACTCCAAGATAGGCTCCTACCAAGGAGACGATTGGGAAGACATTGGACCCGACCTTTGGTCATCTCATTCTGACATCCATTCTCGGGTCAAGGTCGTCGAGGAAGGCGTCAAGTCTTGGCAGCAGAAAGCTAGTATGGGAACCAAGAAGATTGACCGCCTCGACTCCAGTTTGGTTCAGGTAGCACAGATCCACGGGAAGTTGATAGCCGATCTCCAAGGACGCATGAAGGAGGTGGAAACTGGAGTGGAAGATTTTGGGTCTGTCGGCAGCCAAACGTCTACCCTCACTCCGGGACTTTCAGCTATACTTGGCGTCCATCAGACCCCAGTCTCAACTGTCAAGGTACCCACTGATTCAAGGTTCAAGGCGGAAGTGCGTGACGAACTGAAAGAACTCAAGCTACTGATTGCCGACCTTGGCAACAGCAATGCAGTTATGAGCCAGGCGATCGATTCTCTCCCAGCCAACACTCAAAACCGCCTGGATCGACTGGAGTCCATGCAAGCCGACGTCTCCAAGAAGCTCCTGGGAACCAACACGTACTCCTTCGGGGAATTCACATTTGCGTCGGCTGATGATGTGCACTCAAGTATCGGTCACGAAGAACTGGAGTTGGTATCGGTAGCCGGTTTCATGGACATCTTCTCTGCCATCTGCATGTGCCAGGACGATTACTCAGACGGCAAAGCCTTCGCTGACAAGACCCGGTCATCCAATGGCATCAAAGCCACCAGGCTAGAGGTAGACTTCATGTCGACCATGCAACACCCGACTCCCCTCTATCTCTTTGGGAAATCTGAGAGCGCCAAGGTGGCGGTCGATCCTGAAGAAGGCTTTGGTCATCGCCTCAAGACATTCTCTCAGTTCAGCGGCACGCAGTCAACGTGCGTCCGGAACGACCTGCCCAAGAAGTACACTAGACTGACTCGCTCAGTTCGTGGTACCATCTCCGGACGCGGTCTCGGTGCTGATCTCGCACGCCATTTACTCAACGAGACGCGCAATCAGATCAATGATCTGGTTGCGATGCTTGGCAACCGGAAGGAGGAGCTGGTCCTCCAATGCTGCTACGACGAGGCTACCGCCTGGACCTTTCTGGGCTACCTCACACGGTGCATCCTTGACCATCTGGCACACCCACGAGCCAGCGTCGCCCAGCTCCAGGACTTCCACTTGCCTGAAACCAAAGCTCGAATCATTTGGGCGTCCTTGCAGGTACACCAGCGTATCAACGAAATCATTGAAGCTGATTTCAAGGCTCATCACGTCTCCGTCACGGCCATGTCCAATTTCATCATGAAGAACCGCGTCGATCCGTCTCAGCTTGCCGATGTCCGGGTCAAAGCTGAGGACGCCGCCAAGGGAATCTCATCTGTCGACAAGAAATTCGCTACTCTGTCCGCTGAATTCACCCAGCTAAAGCAGACCATGGGCAACCGGGTTGCCTCGCTGGAGAAGAAGAAGTGAGTCGTCGGCAGGGCCCCGGAGCTCGGGTTGCGTTCCCATTCGGATCCACCCGAGTCTCTTCCTGAGCCTGAGCCACCTCCCTCCATGCCCAGCTTGGATGCACCTCCTCCCACCGGCCCATCTCCACGCAGCTCCTTGCGCGGCATCACTTCCGGAACCAAGCTGCCAACGGGGTCCTCCTTGGTCGCGTGGATTCTCATTGGTGCTGACAATCCAGATTGGTTGGTTGCTTTCGACGGTCTAGACTCCTTCGGTACTGTCGTCTGTTTCTGCAAGGCGTCGAATCTGCAACCCTTCCAGCAATGCACCGATTGGCCTGTTCTTCCTTGGACGGGCATCGCCAGCACAGTTGGACACCCTGTTGGTTCCATCTTGTTTACAAACGTTCGCCTCTTGGCTTCCACCGTTCGAGCTCTGGGTTCTCGTGGGATCGACGTCATCTGCTCCTCTGGTGGTTTTCGGTCTCCTCCTTCTTCGTGGCATCTCCAGCGTCTGGATCTCAAGCATTCGGCCTTGGGAGGCGTCACTGACTTTGGACACCGCTTCACCGTGTTGAGCCACTCTGCTGACCTTGGGGACTCATTGTTCAGCTGTTGCCCGCGACCTTGGGACTGTCCTGTCGTATGGCACTCCTTGCACTGATCGAGTCATCAAGCCGGTGGCAGCCTTCCTGGATGCCCCTGCCGTTGTCATGCTGGCCATGGCCCCTCCTTGGCCTCCTGAGTCACCCGTGTACCACGGTCGCGGTTGGCTTCCAGGTCTACCGTCTCTGAGGACTCACGTCGCGACTCCATCTCGGTTTGCTCGCCGGGGTTCTGGGGTGTTCGTTGCATCACCCACGATGAGCTCCTGCTCATCTTGGATCTGGCCGAACACCAACGCCATCCTTTCGGGGACTCTCCTCCTCCTCCTGCCTTCTTTCCCTTGGCTGTACTTCGTGCTGCCATTGGTCTTACGTTGGGTGGTTGGAAAGGCTCGACTTGCTCCGCCGATGGCGCCTCTGGTGGCGTTCCTGTTCTGCCTGTTGGTGGTGTTCCTGTTGGTGGAGTTTCTGTTGCGGGGGGGGGTTCTTTTCCTCTCACTATTTCCGATAGCATTCTGCACCAGGGGGAGTTCGACGATGATGATTATGAATCAGAGATGGCCATGGCCTTGGCTCTCGACGAACGCGAGCGGAAGGCAGTAAAATCTGACGATGCTGCCGTGCCCACTCATCTTTGGCGCCACCATCTGATTGCTGACGCTCCTGACCCAACTCGATGGGCCCCATCGAACGAGAAGGAAGCGGCAGCCTTGGAGAGAGCACTAGACACTCTCCGAAAGGGGTGTCTGCTTTGGTGGAAATGGAATCTCTTTAAAGACTTTCATGCCTGGATGCGGAAGACGTACACTCCCAAGCGGTGTCGCAACCATTGCCATGGTGTTCGGTGGAACAGCGATCTAAAGCGATACCAGTGGACCGAGCAAGGCCTCGCTCACCACGTTGAGTGGCACGCCAATCTGTTTGGCGTCCCTGGTTCCTTGAAGGCGTTCCGACTCGACTACTTGGCAGCCCAAGATTGCATCTGGCGAAGCTGCGGCAGCACATGGTGGGAGTGGTCAGATGGGTCGCGCCCTTTCTTTTGGCGATGGCCTCCTGAAGCCAAACTCCTGCTGCGGGACGGAATGCTCATCCATTTCGTTAGCGATCCTCCGTCTTATTGGACGTATCAACAACCGGACAAGGATGAGAAAACCAAGCGGCTGGTCGAGTCGAAGCTCCAAAAGGTTTTACGCAGGCGCTACTTTGACAAGGACCAAGACGTCCTATCGCTGATGTCGTACTTCCACGTCCCTAAGGGAAAAGACGACATCAGGATGGTGTACGACGCCACCAAGTGTCAATTAAACAAGGCCATCATCATTCCAGGATTCCCCATGCCCACGATTGACACTCACCTCAGAGCTGTCGAAGTCGGTACACACATGTGCGACGTGGACATCGGGGAGATGTTTCTCAACTTCATGATGCACCCATCTCTCAGGCCGTACTGTGGAGTCGACCTCACACCCTACGACTTGGATCTGAGCGAGGTCGGACCTCAGCCCAGCTCCAAGCACGTGGTGGTTTCATGGAATCGAATCGCCATGGGGCTCACTTGGTCTCCCTACCAAGCAGTGCTGTCCATGCACTTTGCGGAAGAAGTCATGAGAGGAGACAGAACGGACAAATCCAACGTATTCACTTGGGACAAGGTTCGGCTGAACTTGCCCGGCATGGCGTCGTACACTCCGCATCTGCCGTGGGTCTCGAAAGTCAGAGGCGACAAAGACAAAGTTGCAGCGGACGTCTTCACGTTCGTGGACGACCTCAGACCATGTGGAGCTGACGCCAAGGAGTCATGGAGCGCAGGCAGAAAAGCAGCAAGCACTATCAACTGGCTGGGATGTCAAGATGCTCCTCGAAAACGGCGAGACAGCAGGCCAGATCCAGGTGCTTGGGCAGGGTGTGTACTTCGGACCCTGAAAGGTGTTTTCACTCTGGTCAGCGATGAAAAATGGGAGAAACTCAAGTGGCATCTCTCGAACACGGAAGCGATGATCGTCGCCGACCCAGACCGCCTGGAGAGCTCCGAACTGCAACGGGTGCGCGGATTTCTTAATTACGTTGCACAGACTTACAAGGCGTTGGTGCCATTTATCACAGGTTTCCATCTCACGATCGACGGATGGCGTCCCAATCGAGATCTGCGAGGTTGGAGGCTGACCTCCAAGCAGGCCCCAATCGCTGAGAAGGACTATCCAGCCGCTCCCAAGTTCGTCAAAGCCAAACCACGATTAATCAGCGATGTAAAGTGCCTGATTGTCCTATGCAGCTCGCCCAAGCCGCCTCACCGCCGGGTGAGACCGCTGAGGACTGCGGTCGTGTTCTACGGCTTCGGCGACGCTTCGGGCTCTGCGTTCGCTGGAACCATCGCTCAGCAGGGTAGCCTCCAAGTGGACTTCGAATTCGGCCAGTGGACCGAAAAGGACGTTGAAGAGACCTCCTCGAACTGGAAGGAGCTCACAAATTTGGTTGAGTTCATTGAAGAAAGGGCGAGAAGTGGGTCCATCCGTGACGCGGAGCTCTTCATGTTCACGGACAATTCCACGGCAGAGGCTGCATACTGGAAAGGCTCCTCCAAGTCCCAACTGCTGCTGGATTTGGTGCTTCGGCTCAGGATGGTCGAGCTTCATTTCGGTCTACTCCTGCACGTTGTACACGTAAGCGGCAAGAGGATGATAGCTCAGGGCACTGATGGTTTGTCACGAGGCAGCCACGGTACAGGTGTCATGCGCGGCGTTGACATGATTAGTTTCGTGCCCCTACACCAGACATGCATTGAACGCTCCCCTGCGTTTGGCGAATGGTTTTGGGATGTGGTCTCTGGAGCCAAGCCGACCTTGCTGACGCCGGAAAATTGGTTCGAGAATGTGCTAGGACACGGTGCCCATGTATGGTTCCCTCCTCCAGCTGCGGCAGATGTGGTGTCGGAGCGATTGCGAATTGCAAGGCACAAGAGACCCAACTCCTTGCATATTGTTGTGGTTCCCAGGCTGATGACGGGCAGGTGGAGGAAGCAGCTCGGCAAGGCCGCCGACGTTTACTTCAGGCTCGAACATGACGCTTGGTGGCCAATCAAGAGCCAATTCGAGCCCTTACTAATGTTCGTCTGCCTGCCATACCTTGTTCACAGGCCTCGCTTCGAGCCCAGACAGGGTTTGGTTGAGCGATTTGTCCGGGTGCTGTGCCGTGACAACTTGCCGCAAGCTGATGAGCAAGTTCAACGGGCTCTTCTGCGCAAACTTTTCGGCGAGGCGCGGGCCCTTTGCGCCTTGTAAGCGCTGTTGGTGTCCAGGTTGCTACAGGCCGGTTGGACAGCTCCCTTTCCCAATCAAGTATGTTGTTGATGACGACGGGAAACTGATTGCCAAGGATGGGGACAGCGAGCGCTTCTTACAGGCAAGAGCCGGCGATGGATTCATGATTGGTTTCCAATGCGACCTGTGCCATTTCCGCAACATCCAAGGGAGAGACCCGTGGCCTAACGACGAGCGAGACATGCTCCTGGTGGAGATGATCCGTCGGGCGAACTTGGACGCCTTCTGGTCTCGCGAGACCTCTACCGTTCGAGAGAACCTACGAGTGCTCAGGCGTGCTTATCTGACAAGGCAGAAGACAGGCATGGTCAATTTCCTGAAACCAATGGGTCCTTTTCCTCTCGACGACGTCATGGGTA